GACCCCAACAGAAAAATAGAGGCGATTTGCTATATCCTGGTACCTTGGCCTGGTCCCTAGATACCTATTTCTAATCACATCTCCAAGCCTTGAGTGACACATGGTGATAAAACGAGAAGGGAAGCCATTCATTTATATTGTGCTAGGATTCAATTTTTCTGAGGTTTCCACACAATCATCTTTTATGAGCTACAGTAAAACCACATGTTTATACAGTCTTTCTCCCTAAGTCCCAAACATTTTAGCAACATTATCTTATGTAACACCTGGGGTTTGAGAAGCAGAACGGAACAGACGCACACGCTTATGCAAACAGTTTTGAAAATTCCAGATGTATCAATTTCCCTTCAAGTTAGTAAAGAGCTTATTTGGAAGATATCTCCTCTCCCTCTGCCTGCCACTCCCAATCCCTTTCCCTCCACCTGCAGGTAATATTTGCGTCTAAAAATGAATTTCTGCTTTGCAGTAATATGGAAGGAAATTTTCTGATTTGTTTTGCAGTTCCTGATGAGTATCTTTATCTACACCTCTGTTATGGAGCAGCAGGTACTGTCTAAAATTAAATCACAAAGTTGCTGTTTTATTTCCCTCTTACCCAGGCTGGATCTGGGATCCACTTTTAACTCTTTTGCCTCTATCTCCTGTGCTTAACTCTACAAAGTGATTTTGCATCTCTTTTTAGTTCTTATCACGGCCATCCTACTCAGACTTGTAAATTCACAGTTGGGCGGTCTCATCTGGCTCTTCACAAGCCTCCTGTTTCAATCTGTCTTGCACATTATGGCTTCATAAATCTTGTCCAATCCTCTCCTCACTGAACACTACTCATGGCTGCCACTGTCTGTGGCAGGGATAAGCAAACTACAGCAGAGCTGGGGGTCCAAATCCAACCTGCAAGCTGTGTTTGTAAATAAAGTTTTATTGGAACAGAGCCATATCCATTTATTTATAAAATGTCTGTGGCTACTTTCCAGTGAGCTACAATGGCAGAGTTCAAAGCCTCATCTGGTCCTTTAACAGCTAAAATCTACCAACTCCTGGTATATGGAATAAGGTCCGTGTCCCTTAGCTTAGCATGCAGATTGTTTGGTCTAAATTCTGTTGGCCTTTTCATGCCTGGTCTCTGTACCTATCCTCCCCCGGCCCATCTAAGGTGGATGGATGGCTGGGTCCTTGGCCCCATAATCAGCTATCTCATGCTGGAGGACTTAAACCACTTATGCTGTTTCCTCTGCTTGGAGTTCTCTCCTGCAAACCCAAGCTCCAGCCAACACTCATCAGTCACTCAAAATTCAGCTCCCACCAAATCAAATGCAAATGCTTCTATTTTGTGCCTCTAGTGAACTCTTAAAAGTATTTTCCACAACTTCTGTATGTACTTGCATCTCTCCCTCTGCCCCTAAAGAACACATGTTGTAACTTAATCATTGTGTATTCCCAGAACTTGGCATTGTGTCTGGAATACAGTAGCGCAGGAGACCAGAATATGTGCCCCACAATATGCCTCTTTCACATAAGGATGATTTTGAGCTAGTTATTTTGAGAAGCAGAAAATATTGGAGAAACTGAACAGTGGAAGTTAGCCTTTTGAAACAGAAATTTATGATTATAAAGAAAATGTCTACTTATTAGGGTGTGTCCCCCTCTACCAGGAAGAGGAAGACAAAAACCACAAGAATCTCATTAATGGAGAAGACAGAGCCCTAAATCAGCATAATGAGTTTTAGTCTTGCTTACAGTTCATACTTGATACATATAAGTAAATGAATGAATCAATGAATGAATGAAAAGCTAACCCTTACCTTCCTAGCTTGCTTCTATTTCTCTCCCTCTATAGTCTTTGTCCTCATGGGTCCTAATCCCCTCACCAATTCCAGTTCAAACCTCTCTTTGTCCTGGCCCATCCTTTGGACGCCAGTCACTTCTCTTCCAGCATTAGCCCTTCCTGCTCCTGCCTTGTCATGTGTCATCATTCCCTTAGCCTCTGGACTTTAGCATCCTAGGTTGGTGTGGCTCTTAGTGACCTTCACCCAGGACCTGCTGCAGGGATGGATCCTGTAGACTTGTCCTGCCTGACTCTTGAGACTGAGCCATCTCTGAACTAAGAGGGCTACCATTACCAATGCTAGCCAGAAAGGGACTAGGTCTGGTACAAGTTCCACAACCACCAGCTGCAAAGCTAGCAATCAGTTGGAAATAGGTTAGCTGGACCTAAGAGCCAAAAATCACTGTTTATAGTGAAAATTGGGGGAGGAGCACAAATTGTTCACATTGAATCTACATTGGCTATAGGCAAGAGGGATAATGTGAAGCAGGCAAAGGCGGAAGATACAGGAAAGTCCATAAGAAGAAGTGCTTGTGCTTCTGGCCTGCTTGGGGTTGAGAGTCCAGAAACTTCACTTACAAGCAGGACGGTGGTGGCTGTGTGCCATGCCTAGGGTTACATTCAGAAATGTGGTCATCTTTGCTTGGTTTGGCTGGCAGGCAGCTGTTATCAGCTTAATATCTGTATCTCTCCCTTGCCTTCATCCTCTTGCCCTCATAACTGAATTCAGGACATCTCAGAATTTTTTCTTTTATCATTAGCATGAGCAGAAACTGCAAAAGAGGAGTCCTGCATCTGAATCCAGACTCTACCGTTATCTAGGGTTTACAGTCAGTGCCCATCCTCTTCCTCCTCACCTGTAAGAGGGAGATGATTAATGTTCTTCACTGGGCTGATATGAATAATATATAAAAACACTTACCCTCAACCAGGGATTCATTCAACAAGTGTTTTTATGGCTGTACACTTCTAATTCCAGCTTCTCGGGGGCAGAGATCAGGAGGATCATGGTTCAAGGTCAGCCCAGGCAAAAAGTTCTCAAGACCCTTTCTCAGTCAATAAGATGAGCATGGAGGTGTGTGCCTGTCATCCCCTGTGCACAGATTGGGATCTAGGTGGACTGGGGCAAAAAGTAAGACCCTATTTGAAAAATAACTAAGTAACTAAAGCAAAAAGGACTAGGGGTCAGACTCAGTGGTAGAGTGCCTGCCTAGGAAGCACAAGGCCCTGAGTTCAAACCCTAGTACCACAATGTATTTTTATTGGTTACTCATTAGAAAATATAAGGTAAGTCGTAGGACTTACCTTCTCATGGAGGAAACAGAGGAAAAACAAAGACAATTACAAACTTAGATGGTGATTGGTGCTTGTACACTGAAAGCATGGGAAATAGGGAGGAACTGCAATATTGGAAGATAATTTATTCAGAATTGTCTTAGAAGATCTGATTCTGAGAGGGCCTTCCTTACCCCTTTTAGGAGTATCCCATGTAATGCTTTATAATGCTAGCCATGAGGTTAGTGGTAAGCATTCGATCTTGTAATGAGAAGGCTAGTTGGATGAATAAAGGAAGGAGTAGGGAAGGAGGAAGCCTTTGTTATTCCTTCAGGGAATGGTTTCCAGCCTTTCTAGTGCCATTTGTGTTTCTTTCTGGATGATTAATTTGGTAGCAGTAGTTATATGAGATGGATCAGTGAGAGAGAAACTGGTTTGGAAAAACCAAAAGTTAGGAGGCCATACAAACATCTGGAGTGACCAAGAACAACAGCCGTGGGACCAGCAGAAGGACTCAAGGAGACTACATCCTGTGTCAAATTTAGGAACTAAATTCAAGATCCTTCAGAGTGGAGACAGGGATTTCTGTAACCGTCAGCTGACACAAGGAAGAT